TTCAACTAGGATTTGATGCTTAGTATTGCATTATTATTTGCATATCCTAGATCTTTGTGATATAAGTGCTTTGAACTTGGACCATATGCTTATATTTGTATGTTTTGACTTGAATGGATCATTTGTGTTGGATTTATGATATATTGAGCACTTCATGATTTAAATCAACTTCCAAAGCATATTTTCACTTACTTGAATCATTTGGATGCTCTGTTATATGTCTTGGCTATTTAATTCCTTTTGATGTTGCCTAAAGGGGAGAATGAGTGTCAATTGAGAAAATATAATACACTTCTACCTAATATGTGGAGAAAAGGTAAAGTCAAAGATGAAAGAGGGAGAATGCACTAAAAATGTAAAAATGATGTTTGTTGACCCTAGAATTCTCACTCTTTTGTCTTTGAAACCATTCTTCGATTAAAGGGGAGCTTTGATAGTTGCTTTGTTGCTAAATAATAAGTGATATGCTCAATGGAATTTCATTGCTCACAAGTTTGCATGCTTATCTTGGTTTATGTTTTTTGATGTTGCCAAAGGGGGAGAAAAATATGAAAATTGAGAAAATTATATTCTTCCACCATATACATATATCTTGGTTTGTAATGCTTAACTTGCATAATTATAATGTTTTGGAACCATTCATAAATTGAGGGGGAGTATCATATACATTATTTGAGAATATTTGTTATACTAACCGTTTCTCAATTTTAAGTTTGTCATCATCAAAAAGGGGGAGATTGTAGATATAAGGTATGTTTTGATGATAACAAAGTGGCAACAACAAAAAGAGAAGTGCATTGATCAATAGCGAAAAGCATCAACCATATGTGGATATTGAAGATGTATGATGTAGCCACACAAGAAAAGTGATGTCATATCAAAGTGGCAAGATCATTGGATCAAGAGCAACACCAAGATTAAAGACAACTAACCATGGAAACATCTAAGAGAAGCACAATATCATAACCATGGTAAAAAATGATCAAAATCAACAAAGTGTCAAGCATTGTCATATCCAACAAGTCAAAGCATCAAGTTCAAGAAAAGATCCAAGACACATGACATAAAGCTAAGTCTAAAATCATTTTTGGAATATATCTTTAGGACTTAGACTATATGTGAGGGTATATGATAGATTGCATTACATGAGCTAAAAGTTTTTCTCAAAGTAAACATGTTTTTCAAATTGCATAATCAAGATGTTTTGCAAACATGTTTTCAAATCCATAGAAAAGATCCTTGACATATTTTATAACTTCAAAACATATTTATCAAGTCAAGATCTTTCACAAAAAGTAGTTAGAAGCAAGCTAAAACACATCTGAACTTAAAATTTATTACTTAATTTTGCTGCTGTCTTCCATACACTTTTTTTGTATCTAAGATGTTAGATTTGTATCTTGTCTTCTTCATAAAAGTTGTAGATTTATATTTTATCTTTCCAACAAGACCAAGATCACATCAATCCGACAAGTATAACTCAAATTATAGCCAAAATACGAAATAGTATTTTTTTCTTTCAAGTTGGAAATCAATTACCACTGCGACAGATCTCAACGGTTATAAAATGGCTAATTTTTCAATTGAGATTCCCACGGCTATAAACGGCTATAAAACGGATAGTTTTTCAAATGAGATCCCAATGGCTATAAACGGGTAGTTTTCCAACGGCTATAAACGACTAGTTTCCCAATGGCTATAAACGGCTAGTTTTCAAACTGCTATAAACAGCTAGTTTTTGGAAACACTATATATGCATTCCCAATGACTCAAAAATATTTGAGCATTATCTCTACACACATTAAGCATACTTTTAGAGCTTCTACACTATCACTTGCATATTCTTTCATATCTTTCAAAGATAAAATATATTTGAGCTCATATTTTGAAAATCCATATACCCATAGTGCTTCAAGTTGTATATCCACACTTTGAGAGTGTATATTCATTTCAAAATATTTTCTCATTGTATTCTTGAGTTGAAAGGGTTGTGAGACCCATTGTTTGGGAGGTGGCCAAATACCTAAGTAAATTTGGAGTGAATTGTAAGGTTACCAAGTACCCGTAAACTTGGAGATTGAAAGGTATCCAATAACCCGAAGTCTTGGAAGATTGTAAAGGTTTGTCAAGCACCCGTGAAGTTTGACCATTAGTGAAAGAGTAGATCGATCGGCATCAGTCTGGACGTAGGTCACAAGTGGTGGTGACTGAACCAGGATATATTGTGTTAGCAATTCTCTAAACTCTTTATTTCTAGCACTTTAATTGCTTCTTTGATATCTTGTATGTGCTAGCATAAGCTCTATAATTGTGATATATTATATATTATGGATTGTCTGAATGTATTTATTTGCTTTCCATATATCAAAGTTTGCTTTAAATAATTATTTAGAAACTAGAAGAGGGCTTTTGCGAAAATTTTATAATACTCAATTCACCCCCCTCTTGAGTATGGAAGCCACATTCCTAACATTATAGTCATATTAATTAAAAACTCTAACACAGTTAAAGAGAGACTTGGATTCACATGAGATAAATGATAAAAAAAAACTACAGTAAAGCCCATTTTAGGTGCCTGACAAAAAATACCATTTCCACCTTTATCCTTTACAAAAAAATATATATATCCATATTAGTTCTCTTTGAGGGACTAAATTGGATCTTCATTGAATTTCTGAGAGATCACATTTTCAAAGAATTGTAATCATAGAGAGATCAAAAGTTGACTTTTTTTTGTAAGGGATGAAAGTGAGAACCATATTTTTTGTTAGCTACCCAAAAATGACTTTACTCAAAAAACTATAAGGGAATAACTGATCAAAAGGAAAAATACAATGGGGTATTTGAACTGTTCCTTTTGATTTTATGGAAAAAGATATACTTACCACCACAAAAATTTACCACCCTTACAACCAACCTAATCACCATTGATTTGTCAATCTAACGGTTATACTTTATTAGGAATTATTGGTTCACGCTTATTAAGTAATTATTAATTCCTAATAAATCCAATAAATTATAACCATTAAATTGAAAAAAATCAAGGGAGATTAAATTGATCGAAAATGTGGTAAATATTTTTGATGGTAAGTATATTATGCCGTTATAATGATCCTATTTTTATATTTATTATATGCCAATTAATATATAATAACCTGTATTTTTTTTTTTTGGTAAACTAATAACCTGTATTTAATCAGAGGGGAATGTTATACTTTTCACATTTTAAGAAACACAAATTCTTAAATATACAAATTAAATTTATAAAAATATATTAAATATAAGTTCAAACTAATCTCAATTAAAAAAAAATAAGTTTAAAAAAAATCATCAACATACATCTAACTATAAACATGAATTTTCTTTGTTGTTTTGAATTTATATTTTATCGTTAAAAACTAAATCATATTATATAAACATAAATTTGTATGTTCATTCTGATAGATCTATTATTATATTTAATATATATTTTTATATAACTTAATTCATTTTTTAACTAAAATAAATAAATTTAAAATAATAAAGATCAAAATAGGGAGTAAAATTATATTTACGGTTGTATATAATAATTCATATTTTATAATTTTCTTTGAAATTTAAATTGTAATTTAATGAATTTTAATGGTTTTGTTTGAACTGGAAATTATAATAAACAACAAATATAAAAATAGGCGCATAATCACTAATAACTAACAAGCATATATGGATTAGTGGTTGGTGTAATAAATTCTATCATTAGAGGTGTTGGTTACATTAGGAACTCAACGCCCTCACTAGAAAGTAAATTTCCATGTATACCAAATCCTAATGCGATCAAACAACCATTATATTATTTGTGTAATGATATTTAAACATTTAAGCTTTAGTAATTTTTTATTATTTCAACAACGAATGTATTGTTTCGTCCAATATTAAATTTAATTTTATTAGGTGACATATATTAATAAGAACAGATTTCATTGTCCGATTTGCGTTGTGTTAATCTAAATATTGTGAGCATCATTTTATTTTCCATAAAATATTTGTCAAAGAAAATTTGTAGAAAATACACAAATTGTCAATATTATTAAACCAGAACTGGTGATCGACTTGATCTGGGTACCAGATCAGTAAATTATTGGTTCAACCAGTAAATAACTAATTGAATCGCATGTCTCGAATAAATATATATAAATTTATATTTTATATTTAAAATTCCTTAATGATAACTTTTATATATGTTGTCTATCAAAGTGTATAATTACGTTTATTTAGAATTATCCAAAATTATGTCTAATAACAAATGCAAGAATTGATTTGCGAAACAAGGCTTGACATAGAAGAGGATATCATCTTCAACCAACCTCCTTCTTAAATGATTAGTTTATTAGATGTAAATTTACTTGTTTTTCATAACTATAAAACTTTTGCATCTTTATATTTAATTTTCTCAACCTTAAATCCTATTAGAGAAAAATAAGAATTATCTATCATGTTAGTATTAAAAAACAAAATTAGTTTCACTTTTCAAATATTCAAATTGGCTCCCAATGTCTTCTATGCTTTCAAATTTCAATCCAACTTACTTAAGATTTTTATTTTCATTTCAATTTTATTTTTCTTAACCTTAAATGTTTAATCATGTTTTGTTTTTTTGTGTAATTCTTATGTGTATTTGTGAATTGAAAATTATGCATCGCAACTTAGATATCTCGCATTTGGTGGAGGCTTAAAAAATAATGTTATTTTGCTTTAATATTTTTTTTAAAATATGCATAATCCAATCGGATTAACAAAAATTGACTAGGTTATCGATTTTGATCAAAACAAGCCAAGTTAAACCAGTATTAACTAGGTTTATTGCATGATCGATCCATTAATTAATTTGAACCAATCAAGTTACCGGTTCATTGATTTTTAAATAAACCCGACCCGATCGAGTCGGATTTAATAAAAATGCAAATTGTGAAATGTTCACTATACTTTTTGGAAGAATGAACCCACCCAAGATATTTTGTTCCATGTACCGTACCTTTCCAATCCAAGTGTCCCTTCAAGCTCCACCACACGACACCCATCCACTCTTCACTTTCTCCACCAAACCATAACCCCATCTTCTTTCCAAACCAAACTCTTAACTTTTTTCGTTTGAGTTGATTTTGCTTTAAACTTCAATTCTAGAGTAACACACTCACTCACTCTTTCATCACCAATAATGGCTTGTGCATTGCAAGCAACCTTAGCAGCCAACACTTATGCCTTTTCTCCAAGGAGACTCTCAATGAAACACCAAAAAACTAGTAAGGGAGGTTCATACATTTTCACTGTTAAAGCTTCTTCTGATGACTCTGACTGCAATGAGGAAGAATGTGCCCCAGATAAGGAAGTGAGTTCATTAGTTTCTTAATCATTTTATAGTTTGTGGGGTGCTTTGTTCCATTTTGTTTTGTTTCTTATGGGTATTTGGTGGCTGAGAAAATGAGGGAAACTATAATAATGAAAAATAAGTAACCTTTGGTTACTATATATTATTTTATTGTTATATTGTTATTCTGCATGTAGTCCCTCGGAGAGAAGTGGGAAGGAAGAGTTTGGCTAGTGCGTATATTAGTTTTGGTTAATTTGATTAAGGGCCAATTTTATTTTATTTTTCAAGTGAGATGTAGGGTTTTGAATTACTTAAGTTGGTTTTGGTTCTTATGTTTTGGGGTTTTATAGAATGGAGTGGTAGTTTAGGAGAAAAAATGTTAGCATAATTTATTGTCAAGACAGGAATGAATTAGTCTAAAAAGGAAAATTATCATTAGATCTATGCTGGGCACACTAACTCCAATTGCACATTAAGTCAAGTTTATCTTCAGATTTTATGATATACAGGATTTTTGTTTTATTGTGATCACTGCAAATTCTGTGAATTAGCTTAATTATAAAGGGCAACGGGCAAACCCTTGCAGCCCCACCGTTACATTTTTGTAAAGAGATTGTTTCCTAGAGTGGAACATGTGATTTTCAAGTTACAAGGAGCAACCTTACTGCTGCTCCAAGTTCAAGGCTCTCCCTTCTGAATTAGCTTAATTTTGATTATAAAAAATGAGAAATACTAAGGGATTGTTTTGGAACTTGTCTCAAAAACTACTTTTTCCTGGGGAATCAGCTGAATTGAAGGAAATTATGTATGTTTAGAGATGTATGCAATGATATTAAGAAAAAAAATGTAGAAAGTTCACTTTTTATCATCGTGTCTTTCTCAATGAAATGTGCATTTGTATATTAATAGAATTTGCTTCATTTCAGTTTCACCTATATTTCAATGTGTGAATGTGTTTCACATTATTGTAGCATTTTATCTTCTTCCTGGCTTTCTAATCACGATGACCTGTATACATTCACGCATAAACGAGAGGCAGAAGCTATATTGTCCATGTGTGCAGTTTCCACATTCATTAACAGACAAAGGAAGCTAATCCTCTGTTGATTTTGATTTAGGTTGGGAGGGTCAGTGTGGAATGGTTAGCAGGGGAGAAGACTAAAGTAGTAGGTACATTCCCACCTCGTCGTAATAAGGGTTGGACAGGCTATGTTGAGAAGGACACTGCTGGGCAGACAAACATATATTCAGTTGAGGTTAGTATTTTTCTTTTATAACTTATTAAAGGTATGCATTGTTTTATTTTATTTTATGTTGTTCTTCTGGTTTTTTTATATTCTTTTAATTTGTTGAAGTTTAATATTTATTTTGCGGGATACACTGAAAGGTCATGCGTTCAAATCTGGAAAACAATCTCTTTGCAAATATGTAGTAAGGGTAAGGCTGCATATAAGAATTGTCCTCATCCAACCCTTGCTAATCGGGGTTTAACGACGAGTGGTTTTATAAACAGTTAGCAAACCCAGGGAGTGTGATAAGAGATTATTATATAGGTAATGATAGCTATATTGATAGTGTTAGATATCAATTTTGAGGTTAGTTGCTGGGAATGGGATTGGCAGCTTATGTCAAGTTGAAGAATTCATGTTAACCTAACCTTCTTTTCCTGAACTAAAACCAATGAGAAGTCTGATCAAATTTGATTATTTTATCTACATTGACAAGTTGCGCCCTAGGAATTTTTTTCAATTGCTGAAGGATTTATATAACTGACGAGACAAATCAATGGTTATCCTTTTCTCATTCTCTATCCTAATGCGCTCACTCTCTACTCTCATCATCATGCATTTGTTTGTGGACAACTCAGATCATCTCACATGACCTGACAATGTTAAATGAGACATGAGAGAATTTATTCCCAAATAAATGACATCTTCAGCATGTTCGTGCTAACATTTTCTATGGCGTTAGATATTCGATTAACACCTTATGAATCTTTCCAGCCAGCAGTTTATGTGGCAGAAAGTGCAATAAGTTCAGGAACTGCTGGCACTTCTTCTGATGGAGCTGAAAACACAGCAGCAATTGCTGCAGGCATTGCCCTGATCTCAGTTGCTGCAGCATCATCTATATTACTACAAGTTGGTAAGAATCCTCCTCAGATCCAAACAGCTGAATACTCTGGACCATCACTTGGTTACTACATCAACAAGTTTAAGCCACCAGAAATTACTCAAGCATCCATTCCTAGTGAGGCAGAATTGTCATCATCTGTGCAATCTGAAAGTTCTCCTCCAGAAGTTTCCCAGGTTCAGGTTGAATCTGAAGTTCAGCCTGAGATCCCAAGTGTGAACACTGAATCTTAGGTGATTACATTATGTGATTACTTTTGCTTTAAAAACATAGCAAAGAACTTTATTTTGTATAAGTAGTATGAGTCAATGTATACATAACTAAAGGTTAATGGATGGAAATTCTTTTGCTAAACATTTATTCCTTGTGTGCTATTGCTACCAATTGAAAGTGTGTTTACCAAGTGTACCAAAAAATAAAATAAAAGTGTGTTTACCTCTTTGCCGAGGAAAGAGAGATAATATCAGTAAACACAACTAAAGGTTAACGCTTGCGTTGCTTCATCTTCTTCCCTAATCGTTGACCGATAAATTTCGCGTTGTTCAAGTTTATTTATTTTTAAATTGATGCAGTTAATTAAGAGAATAAGTTTTTAACCACTTAAATCAATGTTTATTGGTAAGGCAAAAACACTTGAAGAACAAGATTTCAATGCCTAAGGCTCTGTCTGATTATTGTTTTTAAAAAGTTTTTGGAACAAAAAAAATAAATTAAAAACTATAATTATTTTTTTGTTTTTAGAATTAAATTTAAAGAATATGTCTGAGTTGTTTTCGTTTTCTGTTTTGATTTTTTAACTTTCAAAATAACAAAAGCATAGAAAACACTTCTTTTCATAATTATTCTACAAAACAGTTTTAAGAATAACAAAATTAGAATACTATCAAACAGACCCTTAATATATGATTTCATTTTCAAAGATTTTAATTTTACACCCCAAGTGCACACTCAAGTGAGAAGTTATTGGGGTTGAAAGATAAATAATGCATAAATTTATATGGTTGGCGTATAGGACAGGAAAAAGCTTAATGGTATAAAACCTAATAGTATAAGGCCTAATTAAATTTTAATATTATTTAACGTTTAACATGGTATTATCAAGTGTTTGGTAATGCATTGTATAATATTAGATCTGATAAAAATAAATATTTCTGACAAATATACCCTTTATAAAAAATTTATATAATTCTTCCAAATATGTCATATGATATTAGATTTGATAAAAATATTTCGATAAGTATGTCCAAAAAAATTTATAGAAACAAAAATCTCCAATATTTTAGAAAAAAAAGTTCATGGCTACTATATATATTAAAGGGGAAGGATATTGTGACAACCAAGTTGTGTTACTACCAAGTGACTACCAATCAATCTTACCGTTAGATCGATTATATTGATCCAACGGTTATATTTATTTCCATCTTTGTATGGTCATGATTCTTCAAATTTAATACTTTATATTTATTTTCACCTTTGTATGGTTATGATTTTTCATATTTAATGCTTCCACTTTAAATATGGGGAATCATGACCATACAAAGATGGAAATAAATATAACCGTTGAATCAACATAATCGATCTAACGGTGAGATTGATTGGTAGTCACTTGGTAGTAACACAACTTGGTCGTCACAATATCCTTCCCCTGTATATAAATTAAAAAATCAATAGGCATAATCTCAAATATAAGACATGTTGACAACAATTTCATAAATAATACCATCAAGATTTGATAGCAAGTACACTAAAATGTAGCCAAATTAAAAATAGAGTAAAACCCTTTTTAGGTCCCTAACAAAAAACACGGTCCCCACTTTAATCCTTTACAAAAAAAATATTAATCCCGAGGTCCCTAAGAAATTCAAAGTGGACCTATTTAGTTGAAATCGTGGTCCCTCACAAATTCAAAAAAGACTCACATTAATCCCTCAAAAAGACTAAAATGGATCCACTTTGAATTTCATAGGAACCAGACAACTATTTTTTTTTTGTAAAGGACTAAAGTGAGGACCGTGTCTTTTGCTAGGGACAAAATGGGCTTTACTCTTAAAAATAATATCAGTTCCGGCTTATCAACTACTATCAAATTCTTACTAATATTATCAACCATAGTCTATTAAATACTTATTTCTAATGTCAAAATTTCATCACTATTAGTTATCATTAAGCAAATCTTTCATAAACGGAACTATGTGTTCACCTTTAAACCCCAAAACAAATGCACTAGAGGAAGGTTCGATATAAGTAAACAACCAGCCTTATTGCATTCTCTAGGTGTGAGGTCTTCCAATTTAATCAATTCATCAACAATACCCCTTAAATCATCAAAAAAGTCTTTCACAACCTTCACACTTTCAGCTATTATCTTAACACTTTCAACCATAGTACCCATCCTATTAGCAGATTTTCCAACAACTTCTACAAGCGAATTGCCAAACTTGTCCATGCTAGTAGCTAGTGCATCCTCTCCTCTTGGAATCTTCTAGTGCATCCTCTCCTCTTGGAATCTTTCTTACTCGTCGACCTTCAGAGTTAGTATCTTTTACCTTATTCTTATTTTGATTTACAAACATTGATTGAGTGATATCTTGGATGTCATCATCACTAAACATATTAACTCTCCTCTGGAAGTTACGTAGTACCAATGTTTCCATGATTTTGTTCTTCTTCGTCCAAGTCCTCAAGTACATTAGCAGGAGCTTCAACATTTTTTCTAGCACGATCCATTCCAAAGATGATCATCAATCAATTAAAGTGAGGAAACACCTTGGTCCTATAGTTCTTCAAGGTTGCATCCTTCTTTACATGTAAAACAAATATAATAGGCACATTATAATTAATCAAAGTAGATAAAAAATAAAAGGAGATGTTCTACATCACTACCTTGGTAATATACAATGTAGCATGGCAGAAGCAAAGGAATAAAGTTACACAATCCCCAAATTTTTAAACGAATCATCAACCACATATGTAGCACAAAAGAAAGAGAAAACATCGAATTAATACCCAGACACTTATTAGAAGAATCAGGGAGTCAGGGGCAGAACTACTTAGGGAATAGGAGGCCGTGTCAAACCAAAACCAAAATATTTGCAATAAATACAATTTGTAACTTTTTGAAAAAGCTTCCCTTAATAGATAAATTCTGCTCCCTCTTCTAAACTTTTCTTTTTCTTTAGTACATTTTTGATAAACATGTGATTGAAAGTATATTTAGCACCCCCATCCAAAATATTCTAGTTACACCTGTGCAGGCACTCCGAGGTAATACTTTGTTTAAACTGTATTCCACTATTATTTAAGCAAAAGAAGAGGAAAACAACAGCTCATATTAATATCATAAATGGATACTATGATTGTTATCCTACCACCTATAAAATTTCAATTTAACTTCCCAATTCTCTAAGTAAAACAAATTGAATTCTATTCAGAGAAAGGAAGAAAACCGCAGAGAATCCAACCAAGGATTTAACGGGTCCAATGCTCAATCTTCAGATCATCCGAGTCTTTAATTTAATTTGTACAACTACAGGCAGATTTAATCGGAAACAAAGAATCATAAAACTAGATCCAAATGCTATTCAGACATCAAAAAGCATATAAGAAAGCACTGATATATACCTTGGATTTAACTCAAATTCTTGCAGCCAATCTCAGGAACCTCTCTTTATACTGAATCTTTGAATCATCCAATTCTATGCAAGCAGAGTCCGGTTTCATCAGGAACACAGAATCAGAAACTTAAAAACAAATAGTTCAATGAACAAAAAAATCTCTCAAGGATAACACACTCTAGTATACCTAAGATTGATATTGAACTCAAACTCAAGCAGCTAATCACATGAATATCAGTTTAGCGATCAAGTACACTAATCAAATTCATCAAGCACTAACATGTATACCGTTTTATCTGGGTGACCACCCAAATCAAGAACAATTTTAAAGCAAATCCATTCCTAATTAACGGAATATCCTGTAATTTTATATATTTCATAATATACCAAGGCTAAAAGTTGTTACTGCAGCTGAAACCGAATATAACATTTTTTTTTCCAGCCACTTCCCCATGTATCTGTTGGGTTTTAAACTTTATTTAGAATAAATGAAAAATAGAAAATGAAGAGTTTGTGGTGAAGGGATGTGTTCCTTAGGAATTTGTTAGTGGACATTAATGAGTTTAATGTTTTTAAGAAGTAGTCATTATTATGTTTGGATTTCCTAAGTTGGTCATTAGTATTCATAATCATTTGCTATTGTTTATAAATAACTCATTGTAACTCTTGTAAAGTGGTTTGGCAGAATCAGTAATATAATAGAGGTATATTCAGAGACTTGTTTGTGTGTTTGAGAGAAACACCATTCTAGGACCTGTGAATTACAAATTGGTATCAGAACTATGGAGAGTGTGACCACTTCCAGTATGCCATTGTCCCGCCTGACAAAGGCGAATTATGTGAATTGGAGCATTCAGATGAAGGCGTTGCTAGGATCCCAAGATACTTGGGATGTTATTCAGGACGGTTTTGCTGAACCTGCAACTACCTCAGGATACTCAGCAGCTCAAACCAAGGTGTTGAAAGAGACGCGTGCGAAGGACAAGGCGGCCTTATACATGTTATTCCGAGTTGTAGATGAGTCCGGATTTGAGAAGATAGCAAGTGCAACAACGTCAAAGGAAGCGTGGGACATCTTGGAGAATGTTTATAAAGGAGCTGACCGAGTTAAGCAGGTCCGACTTCAGACTCTGCGTGGCGAGTTGGAAGGAATGAAGATGAAAGATTCAGAGGGTGTATCCGAGTTCATCACCCGAGTTCAAGCCGTGGTGAATCAGTTAAAGCAGAATGGTGAGGAATTATCAGAGACTAGAGTTGTTGAAAAGATTCTGAGGTCGCTGACAGACGACTTCGAAAACGTGGTATGTGCAATTGAGGAGTCTAAGGACTTGGCTATGCTCTCTGTTGAAGAGCTAGCGGGTTCTCTTGAGGCGCATGAACAACGCAAGAAAAAGAAGAAGGAAGAGACACTGGAGCAAGCACTCCAGTCAAAAGCAAATATCAAGGAAGAGAAGGCGCTGTATTCTCAGAACGTCCGAGGTAGAGGTCGTGGCCGAGCTGGACGTGGAAATGGCCGAGGTGGTCGTGGCCGAGGTCAGGAGGTGAAACATTAAGAAAGAGCTGAGACGAGTCAGCAAAACTGGAGAGGTAAAGGACGTGGCCGAGGTGGAAGAGGCCGGTGGTCGAATCAAAATAATGTAGAATGTCATAAGTGTGGGAAGTATGGTCACTACGCAAGAGATTGCAACTCGGACAGGTGCTACAACTGTGGCCGAGTTGGGCATTTCGCGAAGGATTGCCGAGATGAAAGGAGAG